GGGTGAGGGTGCCTGGGCAGCGGGGAGCCTGGACCTTGTCCCCCCCGCGCTGGGGCCGTGGGGTGCCGGTCGCCGAGCCCCGGGGAGCCGTGGGCATGGGGTGCGGGTCTGGGGCGAAGCGGGGAGTGGGGTGCTTCTGCTTGCTGCGAGCACAGATTTGTGACGGTCCCCTCATTAGAAGAAACATCGTCTGTCTTAATTTTAAGAGCTGGGAGCTGTGGGGTGGGTTGTGTTCTGCTGTGAGCAGGGCTGTGCCTGTGCTTCATGGAAGACGGAGCATTCAGCAAAGTTCTTGGTTCTGTGTTTAAGTAAGCTTAAGGTAAATAATTAGCGCATGCCTCTCGCCTATACACTGTACTCTTGTGCCCTTGACAGCTATCAGTTGGTTTGTTCTGGAGGCTTACGTGGCTACACCCATCATAAAATACATAAATAATTGCTGCAAAGTAGGATTTTAATTGCAGTGTTATCCCGGAAAAAGCTATTCTTTGTTTTCAAGTATAACTTCCTTAACAACAGAAGAACATCTGTGTGTTTGGTAACAGCAGAACTGTTACCCTAAGTGATTCATCTCTTGGCTTCTGGCTCTCCTGCCTCTTGCTTTCCTGCAGAACACATGTAAGTTGATGATCAGAAGGTGCCCTGCTCAGACCGCTAGTAACCAAATGTTTGGGTTTGTTTGGTTTTTTTTCTCTGCAGAGGGAGGAAGCACTGAAACAGCGAAAAGAGTTATCGCAAGAACTAGTTAACCTTCGAGGAGAACTAGGTAAGAATTGATTTTTATGTTCTTCCTGAGAACAGAAACGCAGCAAAAAACAGATCTGCGGAAAGACAGACGCCTTGGTACCGTGACGGCAGCCGCTGAGTTCCCGGGCTGAACTCTGCGCGGGTGCTGTGGTCGCTGCGTTTCTCCGGAGCCCTGACAGCGTGACCCCCAGGCTCAGCGAATTCCTGGCACCCATCTGCCTGCGCCGGGCAGGGCCTCCCCGCGAAACGTCCGTCTGCTGACGGCGGGAGCGCGGCTGGCGGTGCAGAGACCCGTGCTGGATCCCCGGCTCATTCGTGCGCTGTCTGCTGGAGAGCCGCTGGCAAAAAGCCACAAACCTGTGCAATGCACTGCGCAAAAACCTGCGGTTTTGCCTCAGTGGCTTGCAGGTGAGTGAGCGTAGGATGAACAGAAGGAAACGTGATCAGGCTAACGAGGTTAAACCTTCCAACTCGTCCTAGTGGGCAGCTCTAATGGGAAATTAAGCTGTAATGTGCAAGGGCTGGTTTTGCCAACGTTGCAGCTTGATTTAGCTGCGTTTAATGGTAACTGCGTAGAATTTATTTGAACTTGAAGCAGAATCATCTCGTGGAGTGCAAAAAGTGATTGGATTGAAAATGATGGCACTTGAAAGCAAAGCTAGCGTTCTGTAAGAGCTCGCTTCTGTTATGAAGAAGCCCCTTTAAAACAGAAAAAACAGGCTTTGAAAGCAGAAGGAATACGTGTGGAGCAGCTTGAGATACGTCACTTGTTACTGAAAAGTTGGAGGTGTTTGTTTTCACGTGCTGTGGAGGTGGAGTATTGTCTGGGCCAAGCTGGAGTGTGAATGGAGGTGGTGCCTTGAATGTCCACCTGTATTTTTTAGCGCTGATCAGTAAGGTGGCCGTTCCCTGACAACTGCTCAGCGTTGGAAGTGGGGTGGGGTGCCAGGGCTCTCCCCGTCCCCCCAGTTTCTCCCCTTGTCACTATTGCTGCCCTCCAGTTTAGAGGGTTTTGTTGAAGTGCAGCTTGCTGGGAGCTGGATGTGATGGTGCACGAGCCTGCGGCTGCGTGAACAGGGAGCACCGCAAGCAGAGGAAGCCTTGCAGCCGCGAGAGATGGACGAGAGTACCAAAGACCACCCAGAAACGTGTAGCATTTTCTTTCTTGGCAGCTTTGGACTAAAATGCTGAGGCTTTTCTGGAGCTGGGTGCAGCCTGGCATCTGGCGAGGTGCAGCTTCTAACCCCCCTACGGAGGAAGCACCTGGGTTGTGGTTTTGCAGGTGTTGCGGGCAGGGCTGGGTAGGGGCTGGCTTTGAAGGAACCTGGCCTTCCTCTGCCCCGGAGTCCATCTGTCCTGCCTCGTGCTGGCGCTGCGGCCGTGCCCCGAGCTGCCTGGGGACCGCAGCCAGCTGAGAACCAGTGGTTTGATGGGCTCTTCGGCCAAAGCTGCCTGGCCAGGCCCTGCACGGGGCTGGAGGGGCACTGGGGTGGGGAAGGGGCGCAGGGCTGAGCCCCCCACCAGCTGCAGCCGGCACGGCTGCCACCCTGAAGCGACATCTCGGTGTGGAAACGGGCTCCTTGCATTCCTACAAAGTTGTGTTCTAAGCACTATAAGCTGGATTGACGTCTTTTTATGTACATACGTGTGACTTTCTGGGCAAACCCCTTTGTTTGCCTTATCATGAAAATGGCTTCAGAAGGGTTGCTGTCGGAGGAGGAAGGTCCTCTAGCCTTGCATGCACTCGCATCCTTAATATTATTTTTTCTTTATCAATCTAGGTACTAGGTCACTTACCAGGAGAGGGAAAATTCAGCTCAGAGGGGCAGACCAAAAGCTAGCCAGCACTTTTGGGTGGGCTGCTTTTTTTTTTCATAAGCTTAGTTCTTTCTAAGAGTGCTTCACTCTTAAATGAGCTTCCCAGAAACTTGTTACCTTCCTGCTTTGACTGACAGCCTGCTGAGCTCATATGTGGGACTCCTGTCGCAAGGATGTGCCATTCAGCAGGTTGAGAACTAGAAAAAAAATGTCTAATGCCACTGAGCTTGGTGGGTGTGTGACGCCTGAGTGCCCAGAGCCATCAGCCGGTGTGCTGCTGGCCGGGGCCGTCAGCTGTCCCCTCTCGGAGCTCGGCTTCCTGGGGCAGCTCCGCAGGAGCATCTGGGAGCAGGTTGCCCAGAGAAGCTGTGGTTGCCCCCTCCCTGGCAGTGTTCAGGGCCAGGCTGGATGGAGCTCTGAGCAACCTGGGCTGGTGGAAGATGTCCCTGCTCATGGCAGGGGGGGTGGAACCAGATGAGCTTTAAGGGCCCTTCCAACACCAAACAATATATG